AAATAAGAGCAGAGCTGGGTTTTGAAGAGACTTGTATCGCCATCTTCTCAGTCCTTCTGGCAGGGAGTTGGAGAGTTTGGTCACTATCATGCAGAAACCAGCTGAAAATCGCACGCTGGTTTGAGATGCAGTGAAGAGCTTCATGCTGTCCTAAAGGCTCCTTTGTCATTTTGACTCTCCAGGTGTCGTTAGTAACAAGTTTCACTGCCGGGTGAAATGTATGAAGAAAGCCTAAACCCACCCATTTTTACCACTTAACTACCTTCTCTCCTGGCCAGCAACAATGCTGGGCTCCAAAAGCTCCATCCTGACCCCACTCTGTGCTATTTCAGGGATTAAAATAAAGAGGGGAGAAACCGATGGGATTTCGTTGCAGCAAAGGGAGTTCTTGGTTGATACAACAGTGAAATCGGTGACAAAACTGGACAGCCACACCAGTGTGTCAGGCTACAAAACAAGGTTTTCTACATTTTCACAATACCAAATGTAATGTGCACTCAAACCACCTTCATTTTCATTTCTATCACTGTTTGCCTGGGAGTTGGTGGCAAATAAGTCGAGGCCTTAGCAGACAGGTACATATGGCTGGAAGGTCTCACGTGTCAGCGATGTTCAATGTACAAAGCTGCTTAGCTTACATTTATTTGCACTAGAGAATAAGGCACTGGGCTCCTTTCCAAGCATCTTAAAAAGACAAGAAAGGAGACCTTATATATGACTGGGGAATGGACCCGTTGTGGCAGGAGACTCTATTATATCATTAACATTATAAATTCCATTTACAATACAGCAGTCATTTCATCCATCATTTATCCACGCAGACTAGAGAGAACGTCTTGCATTTTTAGGACTGTGGTTCTGCTTATCCTTGGTATTGCTACAGTCGATGGGCTGTGAACGAGCAGCCCAGCTCCAGCTGGTGCTACTCTGGTCTCTCCCTTCTATACACAAATGTAAACCCCAGCATCTCACCACACTTAAGTAACTGGGGGGAGAAAAAAGAAAAAAGGTTCAACTCTGAAATTACTGGGGTTCCATGTTATTTTTGGGATCTCAGCAGGGACTGGGAATGTTGTTTTACCCTCAATCAATACATTTGGTCACTACAAGCTCTTTCTTGCTCTGGAAGCACGTGCCGCTCAGCGCTTCCCCAGCATCGGTACAGCAGGGGTGGGGGCTACATCCATTTTAGGGACTAGCAGGAGGAAGAGGCCAAGTGCCTTGCCAGTCTGCACGCTTTGCACAACTCGCTCTCCCAGATCCCCTGCCTCCATCCATTGGACCCAGCTGCTAATTAGCACCCTCAGCTTATCTAGGAGACAGTAAAAACTCATTGTTCCACCAGTACTACCAGCATCGACACGGGACTGGGAGGAGAGGCTGATGTTTTCGGCACCGCCTCAGCAGCATGGCACGGCTCTCACGGCCACCATTCGCAACCCAGAGGCACCACCAGCTCTCAGCACTCCTCAGGCCCATCCGCTACCACCACGCCGAGGAGCGAACACCCTCCCCGCTACGCTTCCCAGGGTGGGTTACCGCTCCCGCAAACCAGCCGGTTTTCCTCTGGCGGGTCAGCGGACACCCGTAGGTACAACTGATAAAGTCACGGTTAGTAAGCCAGCACTCCACAGCATAGTGCATGTACGATGAAACATAGGTAAGAAAAACGTATTAGACAAGTACCTGTCTGGATATCACCATTACACACGTGGTTCTGGTTTGTTCTCACATCACCATAATCTGGAGTAATGACATGGAAAACAATTACAGTAAACCTTAAAGGAAAAAGGAATAACCAGAATTATACTCCACCTTTACTGAAAAGCCGATTTCACATACAGAATTAATTTTAAAAAAACCCAAACTTTGAACAAAAAACAGCCCAACGCTTAGAAGAGATTTTCCCTTCTTAATGATATCAAAGACTAATAGTACCACAGAGAGAACTGGTTTTGCACTGAGAATTAAGCTGCCAAGCTTGGAAGAAGCACGGAAGCCTCTGTATAAAAACCTGAATGCTGCTTCTTCCAGAGTTTTTTGGCACAAACTCCAATTAAACTGTTTTACATTAAGTTGTGTCGAATATGTTCTTTACTCATCTTCCTGACTTTAACACTCAGCGGAAGAGAACGATCACTGAACGACCTCCCCCGGCTGTCACTGGGTCTGAGATGACATTAAATGAATAAAGCAAGTCTACACTCAGCCGACCAACACTGACTGTCCATCGCTGCTCAGTATTTTATAACACACAAGGCAAACAGCAGAGAAGTTATGAAAATGGTACTGTTTGCTCCCCAATGCAGATTTTATTTGAATTGGTGAGAAGTGTGCTTTGGATTGGAGTTTGCTTGTTTTTCCATGTTACGGGTCTAAAAGATGGGAGGGAAGTTAAAACTACAAACCTACTCTGAGTGATATGTGAAGAGGGAGAAGTGTTTTAAGTGCAACAACCCAAACATTTTTTTTATTCAAGAATACACCATTAATGATACAGACTGACAGGGTGGCAGTAAGCTACCACTGAAAGACTGACAACTTAAGTCAGATAAATCTAGTATTAAATAAGCAAAAAAACCTCTGAGCCACTGACCACGCCTCAAAGCTGATTTATGGAAAAATACAGGCGTTATAGAGTCCATGACCTACGTGCTGGGTACATAATACACAAAAACCAAAATGTTAAAACAAAACTCCTTCCAGCATGTGATAAGTATAGCTCTCAGAAGAACACATTTTGAAATGCAGATTGTTTAAGGAGAAAGAAAACAAGAAAAGTTTCAGAGAAACATTCTTTTGACAAAATTGTATTTAATGGCCAGAAAAGCATTTCCTCATTCACACTGTTGCCAGCTTCTCTTTATTTACATCAAGACAGTCTAAATGGCTTCCACTGATACAGGATCCTACAGCCATTTGCAGAATAGCAGCCTTCTTAATGTGCTAAGTAGAAGCAGCAGGCAGGTCAGCACAGCCCTGCCAAGAGGTTTGAAAGATGACAGTATTTTTAAATATGCCTATTAACATAAAGGGAGATAACACACAGGGCACGGCTTATGTGATGTGGGAGCGACCAAAATGTCCAATTTGTGACAGTCAGATTCATTCAAGCAGCCTTCCTTCTCACACAAGGTACACAACATCAAGGAAGAGTCACAGCAGTTTTCTAAGTGCATATACTGCTGACAAGACATGGTCGGGGTTCACCAAAGTGACTAAGATTGCAACGTAACGAATAACGGAAGCTAAACAATGCACGTATTCTGATTTCACTTCACAGGCATCTCAAAGGTTCTCCCCTATTACCTTAAAATGCTCTGTACTATGCAGCACAGTGAGCTGGACAGTCAGAGACAGAACTAAAAGCCTCCCAACACACCTACAATGCAGTTGGTACTGGTAAAGCACGTTTGTTCTGAGCTTGAATACCTTAAGGATCTAAGTTTTACCAGCAATGACAGTTTGAACCATTACTTGATGTTTTGTACGGTAAGGCACCTGTATTTCACCGAACTGGACTGCACGCACCTCTTTGGCAGTGGGTTACGAGGACAAAGCAAACACTAATCATTGCAATGAATGTGTCAGGACAGAAACGTAACTAAAGATTATGGCTAAATTCTGGCCAGAGAAGTCTGGCAGCTCATTTGCTTAGGGAAAGCCACTGCCCTTATATTGGTTAAGCATAAGTCAGTTAGCAAAGGACAGCAGGCTGTATTTTAGCACAGATGCATGGAGATAGCAACCTGGTCCACTCGCAACACACCCAACTGGGATTAACATAGCAAGGTGCTGCATTCTCAGGCAGAAGCATCCTAGACTATCTCCATGCAAAACTCCGTGCACATGAAACGTTGCTCTTCACCTCCTTGAGACAGACAGGTACTCCAGAAAAAGAAAGTGACACTTCAGTGACCCACAGGCATTCTTAGCACAAGTAATTCCACTTTTATTGTGAAATGTATGATGAGATGAAGGTTTGTTAAAAAGAGGGGTTTTTTTCACCCCCACCCCATTTTACTGGTTATATATTCTTCTTCAACTCAGCGGAATGAACTCAGTCATAACACCTAGAATGAACTGCTTGCCCTTTTTATCTCTGTAGATCGCCAAAAGCTCTGTACAAAGAAACTCAAGCGTCATTACCAATAAGTGTTAACTAGATCTTTGACCAAGATTCCACAGTGCTGTTGATTATTCATCACGTGGACTCACTGGGACCAAACAGACCTCGTAGGCTTTAATCTGCAGTTTGTGTTGCCACTGCAACAAGAAAAGGATTCCAACTGATGAAGCAGCAGCAAGAGCAAAACTCAAGGCACATTTGCATAAACGAAAGCTCTTCTGTTACTATAAAAATGGGCAATAAAATATACAAAATAAGTAGAAGTCTCTCTGTTCAACCAATGTACATCTGCCTTCAGTCTTTCCTGAGGCATTAGGAAGAATCACTGCTACCACATTTTCAACATTCATTCTTTGCTATCAAATAAATTAGACTTACTAGTGCAAAGGCAAAGAGAAGTCAGGCTGGTTTTTGGATTTGAGGCTTTTTGTTTGTTTGTTTGGGTTTTTTGTTTGGGTGGGTTTTTTTTTTTTTTACTTTGCTCTGGTTCTTCATAAAAAATTACCTAAGAAATTAGCATTTGCACAAGGAAACAAGAAGCTATATATTTGCTGAATTAAATCTTAAAATAATTTTGTATACTGTACAAATATACATTACATCTTAAACATTTACAACCTTAACTTTCTCGATGACAAAATTCGCTGCTCTTCCAAGCAACGCAGCCACCCAACTTGTCTTTTCAAAAGCTCAAAGCTATTAACCGTCAGGTACAAAGTCCCCTTCACTGTTAGGGACAGGCTGGGAAAAAGGATCTACTGATAGCAGTGGTATCAATAAGGGAGTTCCAGGTGTACTAAGTAATTTAAAATACTGTCCTTGCTAGACAGAAACCTGGGAATAGATTTTCAGTAATGAGCCAATACTTAAGTCAGTGAAAGGTCTTTCTTCGCTTGGCACTGTTTGATTCTGTGTTCTCAGGTGATTCCTCTAATGTTCTCCTCGTTAAAACACGATAGTCTTTGTTCCACCTACTGCTATTACTTCGACCTTCTTCACTGCCAGCTTTTGAAGTGCTTTTCGATACAGAAGCTCTCCAGTCACTCTCATGCTGAGCTGCGTAAGGCGACGTGGAAGGCACGTCACGTTGTCCCATTGTTTGCTGGGGCTTCTTAGAAGTTTCTTTTCTGGCAATCTGATCCCTGGCAGCTGAAGACACATTGAGGCCTTGCTGTGATGTTGATCCTGGATTGCTCTGGGCTGACCGACTGCTGTCTTTTGAGGCCTGCTCCTTCCCTTTTATTTCAGTTCTACTAGCCATACTGGCCAGCCTTGGATCACGCGGTTTCTCTTGATCAGGAAGCGCTGCAGCCTCCACAGGTGCGGAGGCACTGCCTCTCCTGGAGTCTGCAGCCTGAGCCCGCTGGGGCTGCTGGGGCCCTCTGCTTCCTTGTGGCACTGCATGGCCAGCGCCAGCAGTGAGTTCCTGTGGGCTGCTGCCCTCCCTTGGATTTGCAAGCTCACCCCTCTTGCTACCGGAAGAACACGCCTGCGACAGAGATGTCTTTGTCCCTGCTTTGACTGGGGGCTGTACTGTTGCCTTGAGCTTCAAAATCTTAACAGCATCTTTCCGGTAGCTTTTTTCTGATGTCTTGATAATGGCACCTCTTTTCTGAGCGTCCTGAATCAATTCATTCCAGTCTTTATTTTCCTTTAAAAAAAGAAAAAAAGACACATCCCCCCAAGAAAAGAAAACAATTATCAGAAAGAAATCAACACAAATGGACAGAGGTGTCAGAGGATGCACAACCTCTTTAATGAAGGTACCTGACACAACTGTCATGGAAACCACTGTTATGTTCCTTCTGGAATGGAAGAATCTTATGTTTCACTTGCAAAACAGCAATAGGCACTCTGGCTGCTGTAACACAGGGAAGGTACTTTCAACCATCAGTGAGCTACTACTTAAAATGACAATTTCTACATTTATGAAGGCCAGAAGAGTTCTCTCCTACGGAGAGTGAATCAGGAACATGGCTTTAATGCCCTCTAGTGGTGTACCTCATACCCCCCACCCCTGGAAAAAAAATACTGTAAGACATAAAGTCCACTCAAGAGCGCTCCCTACACATTCAGTGGGCCTTTAGAGTCCCCCAAATACGTAGTTCTGTTTCAGAAACACCTGTTTCAAAGAGTACAAGCAAAGAGTATCCTCAGTAACCACATGATTACACAAAGTAGCATCCAAAACAATAAAAAGAAGATGAGGGGAGTGTTTGGGGTTTTTGTTAAATCATTTTCCTTGCTCAAGTATCCAGTGACAACTGCAATAGCTGGAGCAGCAGTAAAGATCAAGCGGGAAACTATCACTGCTATCATCCTGTCTTACCAGTAGAGAGATCTTTCACAACCCCCTCACTTGAATTGTAAAGGACTGTGTTACAATTTAGTTACTAAATATCGTGAGAGTAATTTCTAACTTTCCTTCTTGGAAACAAGGAAAACAGTTTTGTTTTTTTTTTAAAGTTTGTATGACAGTTACAGCCCAAGTTTTCAAAGAGAACCCTTCAGAGGCCTGGACTGTACTAATTTAACAACACACTAGAAAAGGGTCCCCTTTCATAGACTGGAGCAGTATGAGGATGTTTTTCACTTCCCCAACCCTGACTTGACCTAGAAGGGTGGATCACAGAAGATCATTTGAGTAACACTGTACCTACCATGAGCGTTTTCAGGCTTCCAAGGATGAAGAGGCTGAATCTGGCTCGGGTAATTGTAACATTTAGACGCTGAAGACTTGCCAGAAACCTAGGTGACAAGACAAAACTAAGCTCCTAAACTACTTCCATGAGGTTTAAGTGTTACGAGAAAAAGAGGCAACACTCAATTTCAGTGAAATGAAGATAATGGAAGCAGTTACAAAGAAGGCAGCAGTTCATAGGCCATTCCCAGATCCCACTGCAGCAGTCCTGCCTTACATGAAGGGTTTTGCACGAATTGTGTTTTCTTTCTTTCACCACTCTGATTCCTTGCAGGGAATGCCAGGTCTTTTGAGCTCTTGCCGTTGACGTTTCCTTTCTTAGAGCAAATCCCCTCTTAATGCCAACCACTGCTTCCTTAAATGTTCCTCAAAGTACAGAAGACATCAACCTCACTTCACCTATCAAGACTTTAAGCTCCTTTTTGACCTGAACTGAAACAGATTAATAATATTTGGCATGATTAATAAGAAAATTTTCTACTGAAATACTGAATGCTGGACATGAATATTTTATTTTTTAAAGGTGACCTGCACTGGAAGCACATGAATAAAGACTTTTGCTTTGTCATGCTTCAAGAGTGAAAAGTATATTCTTGCAGAAGAAAATTTTCATAGTACAAATACCCGACTGTCTGGTCTGTTTCTGTGGGATCACAAACCAAGGTACTGAAACCTAAACAAACAAATGCTTAGTGTTATTTTTAAAGGTTGATTTCTGTTAGGGCTGGTTTACCAAAACTCAAAAAAAGGTTTGTGAAACTAATATCAACTATTTTTTCCCTAATGAAAAAGCTCCCAAAATGCACAGCTTATTCTGTACTACAAAGTCTGCAATACAAAGTCAGGTCTTTGTACAACTTTGAACAGGTCCACTATCAATGCCTGGTACTGTGGTCACGGCACTAAGACCTGCTCTTCAGCAAATTCACAACCCTTGCAGCAGAGACTGCAAAAGCCCCAGAGCCACTCCCAGAAAATTTGGGCAGTGCAGGAAAAAAGATGAGAGAGGCAGGAAGCAGACCGAGGGAGTGGATCCAGCAGCACAGATGTCATAGTTCTCTATGTCTCGGGGGGGGGAAGGGGGATCTTGAAAGATTACTAAATATTCCTAACGGCTTTTAAAACTGAAAGACAACAAAATTATTCTCAGGAAAGGAAAAAAAATCCATTGTCATTTCTTGGAGAGCTTTCTCTTCCCTTTGCAAGATAATTTAAAAACTTAATGCTGGACTAGCAACCTTGGAGACCGAAATACTTTGCTCAACTACAAGATCATAGGTAAGGGTGATGCAAACTTTCCCATCACACCTTGCCAATGACACCTGACCCTGAAACAGAGACGTCCAACTCATCAGTATGTACAGCTTCTGAGGCATTGCACTGCCAAAGTTTTAATATATAAACCTTCAACACAGTAAGCTGGAAAGTTTTCTTCCAAAAGAACAGATAGAGGTTAAGTCCCGTGTCAGCCAAAAGAACTGGCAGATTCTAGCTGCCTTCCATTTCCAAACTCAATCAACTAGATTAAGAAATCTCCAAAAAACATCATTGTTGTTTACTATAGGATTTGGATTCTTTCTCTTCCCAAAGTAGCATGGATCAGCACAATTAAAAGCCCTTTATCTAGCAATTAGAAAATAAGTATCAGAGAAATGCAAGTAGCTTAGTGAAACCTGGTATGTGGAAACAAAGATTTTTGTTTACACAAACAGACTTCCCATAGTTCAACATAAAAGCCAATAAACTGTAAGAAGGCATATTTCCACCACCATTTTTTAAACTAAAATGATCAGTAAGTTACAGAAACAAATCAACAACTGCCATAGCGGCCCAGGGTGAAACAGCACACCCAGTATCTAGTTCCTTCTGTTTCAGACAGGAAAAACCCATATAAAATTATCAAATCTGCGATCTTGAATCAAGACTTCCTGCAAATCTCCTCCTAACTCAAAAGACAAGCACGTTTGTCTACAAGCCAAAGATCCAGCTCATCTGCATCACACTCCTAGTGACATATATGTCGTTAACAATACTTTTGCAGACAGAATGCTGTATTAATAGGATAGTGACAATCACAGAAAATGGATTTCATTTTAAGAGAGCAGCATTCAGAAAGTTACAATATATATCAAAAACTACAAGAAAAAAACCAAACTGCTGCAGTACTAATGCAAAGAGCCAAGTTCGCAAGACCAATCCTGCCAAACTGAAACAATGGCAGGCTAAGGCAGCCATGCAAATTCATCAGCATGCAACACAGAACACAATACTTAGCATTTCCACGTCCCTTTTGTCCAGATATCTCAAACCAGTAACATTAATTCATGCATTAAGATACCCTTTAATTTGCTGGCCGTAGTGACTTGTTCTCTAACAACTTTCTTACTGGTCATATTAAAAATACAATGACTCTACCTGGAGTGTCATTGGAAATGGGATTTGCAAATCACTGAAGAGAGACATACCCAATTGACCCTTTGGTGCTGCGCGCCCGGACGCACGTCACTATGATGCAGTCTTTCTCTCGTCCCTGGAACGCATCCACTGTGTCCACTTCTCCTGGGCTGTTGAAGAAAGAATTAGAAAGCTGTTAAATTATGTTAGTTGAATTTTTAAGCAACACACTGATGCAAATAGCCTAAACGCTATCCTTAATCATCAGCTGTCAAAATAACCCATGGTAAATTTCTGCTTCAGTGTATGAACCTAAAGCTAGATTTGCTTTTCCAAGGCCAGCATCGTTGTTGAAAAGCTGTTCAAGTCCACATAGCTTGGAATTTTAGGTTTTCTTTTAAATCAGCTTTATTCAGAATACCAATATAACCAAAGCATGTGTCATGGTTTAACCCCAGCCAACAACCAAGCACCAGCACCACACAGCCACTCGCTCACCCTCCCCTGCCCCAGTGGGATAGGGAAGAGAACTGGGAAGGGTGAAAGTAAGAAAACTCATGGGTTGAGATAAGAACAGCTTAATAACTGAAATAAAGTGACAATAATAATAATTATTATCATAATAGTAATTTGTCCTGAAAAGGAAAAGAATGAAAAACAGAGAGAGGAACAAAACCCAGGAAAGGTAAGCAATGCAACCGCTCACCACCCACCGACTGATGCCCAGCCCATCCCTGAGCAGCGATCGCTGCCGCCCAGCTAACTCCCCCCAGTTTCTATACTAAGCATGATGTCATATGGAATGGAATAGCCCTTTGGCCAGTTTTCGTCAGCTGTCCTGGCTGTGCCCCCTCCCAGCTTCTTGTGCACCTGGCAACGCATGGGAAGCCAAAAAGTCCTTGATTTAGTGTAAGCATGACTTAGCAACAACTAAAACATCAGTGTGTTATCAACGTTATTCTCATATTCAATCCAAAACACAGCACTATGCCAGCTACTAGGAAGAAAATTAACTTTATCCCAGCCGAAACCAGGACAGCATATATAATAAGACTAAGAAATGGTACAAAGAGGCCATGACTGTTTTAAGCAAAAGGCTTGCTTTGTCCCCTTTAAAGGCATGACTAAGTACAGATTTTGGCAGCACAGAAAAAAGGTTCAGAGTTTTGCCATTAAGAGGATAAACAAAGGACTAACATGCAAGAGTCAAGTCCCATTTAAAACCTCATGGTTTCTTTACCTGTTGTTCTTAAATGCTCTGTCCAGTTGCTCTTGAATTTTCTTTTTCTGTGCGCTGTAAGGAGTAATTATTCCAATGCGACGAAGACCCAGATCCTTCCTTTTTTCTTTAATTGTTCTAATTAATTCCATCACCATCTTCACTTCCTGAGGATTACTAAAAGAGCTGAACAAGACAGAATGGGAACATTACAGAAATACGTTTGGCAGCTCTTTCAAATTCAACACATCAGCCCAATTTGTAGGGGGATTGAGAGTCAAAGCCCCGTCTTGAACTTTTGCAGCCTCCTTCACATAGAGGCTCCAAGAACTTTGCAAGCAGTCCTTGACAGGGGGCTAACAACAATTAGAAGGGTCAACAGAGAAAGGCTGCACTTCCCATTCCCTTAAAACTACACAGCTTTGCTTTCCTTACAGAATAAGGCAAAAGAGAGGACTGAGCCTGCCACCTTCTGGCATTACATCAGCATGCAGCTGTGAAAGGAAAGTCACTGACAAAAAAAAAAAATCAGGAATCAGAAACTGTTGCTAGAGTTAAGAGAGATTGTAGGCATCCACTGGCATCTAGCAGACGTCAAACCAGGATTAAATCCAGTTTCAGATTAAAAACCAAAAAAATATAACACCCGCTTTTTTGTAAAATTAAATCAAATCAAGTTGAAAATCAGTTCTGGCTACTTAAAGTATATTGGGAACAACAGAAGAGAGAAGACAACTCTGCAGGTAATTAATTCTCAGCAAATCTAAGAGTTGGCAGAGCAGAATGCGGGACTTACTCATTGTCTCGCTCCTCACGACCGTCTCCTACATCAAAAATAAGGTAGGGCTGGAATGGCCACTCTGAAGAACATCTGTTCTCTTCTGTTGCTCTGTAAATCACATTTTTATCACCAGGTAACCATATGGGAATTCTAAGAACTGATACTTCATTTATTTATGCCATGGTTATCAAATACAAGCAACTTGCAGCTTTTTTTTCCCCCCCAAAGTCCTTAATTTTCACCTGCATATACTGAGGCCTGAAAATTAACTCTAAGCAATAAGTATGCTCAATTTTAAGCAATCTAGTTAACTTATGTATCACAGTCAGCACTAGCAGGAGTTGGAATGCAAGTTTTCTCCCATTAAGCATCTTCCCCTCCCCACAACCTCAAGAATTTTTAGACTCAAAAGAATATCCTGATGCAAAAAGTTTCTTTAAAATACGCCCTGCTCAGAAAGGAGAACAGAGTGCTCCCCACCTGTCAGTCTTTAGAGTCCTGCCATAAACATAATTGGATGGGAAGAGGCAGATGTCAGGGTGCATCCTGTACTGCACAGTCAGCTGCACAATGGGCAGGCTTTGTAAAATTTTCTTCTGCACTTGCTCATCCAGGTGTCTGTGCAGGCGTGCCATCAAGGACTGATCGTAGCCATATTCCTGAGCTTTCTGCCAGAGGGAAAACATGAGATCGAATTCTGGAGAATTAGGTCCCAAACTAAGGACAGGAATTTGCTTTTTGGACTTCAAACTATTTGGTATTTTCTTTTAAACTTCTAAACCACTAACGAAGTGACAACTACTTGCACTTCACTTTTCTATTTGTGTTAGTCTCATTATTTCAGTAAAGATCACCTGCATAAATCTGAATTTTTGTCAGTGTAGTCTTCAGCAAGACAACTTTCCTTTGTGAGTCACAACATAGTAAAATTTTAAAAACATCAACAATAATGAAAAGCAAGATCTTCCAGGTGGGATCTCGTTAAACAAGCACACAGCCTCCAGACAATTTACCCTTCTAGAGAAGCCAGTCTGGTTTTCCTCCTTTCTTTATCAGATGTTTAAAATAGTCCTCCTTGCTGTTGGATACAAGAAAGTGCTCCTATATGTTCATCCTTAGAACACATCTGTAGGGTGAGGAAGTCCCCATACAAACGGGTAGTCTTCATCCTCCATTCCTTAAGCAATGTTGACACTGACTGAAGCTCACATGATGAGAGCCTGCCACAACACAACGTTCATCACGAACCAAGTGCCGAGTGGCACTAAAGTTTGTGTTGCCATAACTATTCTTAACGGTGCATAAAATCATTTTCAAGCTATGCCAGGAAAGTCTATAGAGGTTGCAGTCACACATCCATATTAGCTTTATTCATGCATTTGAAGGCAGTATTGGTACGGTCTCCACACAACAGAGACTAAATTTGGCAGGGCAAAAAGTTAGTATCTGATACACATCACGATCTGACATTGAAGCATCTTTTTTTCCTTTTATACTTATTTTCTATAGATACCGTTCTTATACTACATATCATGAAAAAAATACAGTTTGAACACTTACTACTGATTTTACAGTAGGAGGCAGCTGTCTGGGATCTCCAACAAGGACAAGTTTATTACAGCGATGGATCAGTGGAATCAGTGTTTCAACCTCACAGGACTGCCCTGCCTTTTGTATATGCAAACAGGACAAAAAGTAGATGTGGTAAGCAAAGGAGTAGCGGGAAGTATTAAATTTCCTGTAACAGAGCCAGAATAACTCGGAAATGCGTAAGGCTCGGGGGGGGAGAGAGAGAGGGAGAATTTTTCCCTAATAAAAAACTCCAAACAGATTTTTCTTTTATTATTAAATACACAGAGCTCTCTCTAAACAGATACAAATATAACCCAACCATCTGGAAACCTCTATAGCAAGAGCCACACTTTAGCCATGATTTTCAAGTAAAAGCCGTCTGCCATTAAAGCACCAAAGTAGTCAGAAAAAGAAGCAATTAAAAGTTACTCTTTCTTCTTATGGCTTTATGTGGCAGTACAGACTGGTTATCAGTTAAAAGGTGGCCATGAGGCAGTTAACCCACAATATACTACACCAGCAGCCAAGCAATTACAAGTAGCTTAAGCAGAGAACAAGGCAAGGAGGTGGAACGTGCTGTAGTTCGAAATAGTTTTACTGACCTCATCCACAATGACACAGCTGAAAGGATCAAGTCCTTGCCGACAAAAAGCAGATTCCAGCAGACTTCCTCCACTTGTGCTCAGTGTGCAGCAGATGATATCGGACTCCAAGATGATATCTGCCTGTACTTTCTGAGAGTGCCCCCGAACCTTCAAGTACAAAAAGACACCATGTCTCCTCTTCTCTTTTAGTTTTCTTGAACCACCTTAGAGCAATTTCTAACCACCTGGACAATTCTAACTGCCAAACAACAGATCACGCATAATGCACCATCCTGACAAAACTATCTCCATTATTACAAATGGAAGTAACAAGTTGGCTTTACTGAAGCGTTATTCTTGCTTTAAATTACACCACCTTTGAGGTGGCAAACTGAAAAGAAGTATTCCTTTATGTCTACAGCTATGCAATCTAGACACAGTAACATTTGTGACTAGTTACATCACATTTGTGACTCCAAGCCTCCCCGACCATTAAGAGTCAGCATATATTTCTTAAAGATGAACCTTCATTCACCTCATGGTTCGTGTTAGTCAGCCTTAATTACTGGGTTTGCTATGAGTGCCTACTTCCACTTTCAAACCTATCTCTTTCCACACACAAAAAAAGTCTTCCAGCTGTTGCTTTGCTTAGAAGCATTTAAAAGTATCTCAGTCCCAGTAGGATTGTAAGGGGCATGAAAGTGGTGATGAAGATACATCGTAGAACATGAGGACATACACGTTTCTATTAACTTCTTTGCTAAATATACATTTTGTTCAAAATTAACTGCAAAAGTGAATATTCCCAGCTGGTAGTTGTGGTTTGGTTTTTTTTTTTTCCCCCCAGAATGCAGCCAGAGTACACCTGGATTTCACAGCAGGCTGTCCATAACTTACTCAGCTTGTGATCTTTATCTGTTTACCTACTACTTTATAAATACTCCCAGCCACATCAAAACCAAATCTCCACCACAATTAGAGGATACCAAGTATATAAATAGATTAGCCGAGGTTTATGAAAGAGCTGCCCTAACGATGAATTCCTACCTCCTTTAGTTGAGAAGCAAGCTGTTGTCTCTCCTTTGAAAGTCTGACAATTTCATCAAGTAACATTTGACTCTAGATGGTGGGCAGGGGGGCAGGAAGAGAAACCACATGTATATCAGGAATAATTAACAAACATTTCCCATATACCTTTTTTCCTTCCATACCCTCATTCACTTCCTAAACATTTAGACTTGTTCAGACTGTCTTTTAATATCAAACATGTCTGAAAAAGCTAACCAGTTTCTTCAAAAATGGTCAACATATTTAGACTTTCACATAATACTACACTTTACATTTCTGTGCAACTGGGAAAGCAGTTTACCATCAGAAATCTGTAATTTGAGCACAAATGCCAAATTTTTTGATAAAAAATGGAAAACTTCAAGTGCAACACATATCCCAAAAATCTCAGATTGAAAGGTATCTTACTACTTCCAATTAAACAGAGTTTTGAAGTACACAAGTTAAATCATTAAGCTAAGTATGGTTACACTGGTGATAGAACCAAATGAAGACCACTGAACACTATAGCAAAAAGCAGCATGATACTGAAAATATCAGTATAAATAGACCAGAAAAACTCCTAATGTAAAGTTCCTCATTCCCTTTCATGGTACTAACCAACATTTCCATTAGTTGAAAAAGAGGTGAAGAGACAGTTACTGCTCACAGATGGCATTAAAAGTAAGAAGAGTTCTTTACTCTTTGGATTCAGTTATGAATATAAAAAAATACAAACAACATTAAAAATGTATTATCTTACTACCTCCCTCTTCTCACATCTGTGCATGGCACGCTGACGAGACAGCATGTCCAGCTGTTGATCCAGAGCTGCTTTTTTCTTCTGAATATCCTGGTCACAGTCAGCTGGCTTTCGTTCTATAATAAAACAAAGGAAAACATACAGGAGGAATAGAAAAACTATGTTACAATAACACTTGCTCTCAGTCATGCATCTTCAGTTATTAAGAACAAATGGACAAATTCATTTTTTGTTGCATTTTCCCTTTTTCTATCGAGGTCTTATTTTGTAAAACAAAGATAATGAGCTGTAGCACTCAAATACTGCATAGCCACATTGCTTAAAAATTATGGCTTTAACATGCATTTATTATAATTTGGTTTTAAAAAAACAAACAAGAAGTCATCTTGCTTATTTCTTTGGTTTTGCTTAGATTTTAGGCCATATGTAAGCTGACACTTTCCCTCTAAGACTGAGAAAAACAATGCTTACGAAGCACTGTTGCAGAAAAATCTTTTACCAGATCTTCCTTCTTAAAGGACACATAGTCCCAAGTGTAAAACATCATCAAGCTCTTAAAGACGACTGAAGAAAAGTCTGATTTGCATGTTACTTACTCATTCTATGTTCAACTTGCTTATCCAGGCTAAATCCCCGGACTTCACTGTTGATTGCTTTTTCAGCACCAAGTCGCACTAATTTAATATCACCACAGTTTCCTGTTTACAAAATCAGAGGCAAAATGCTTTTAGATTGCTCCAATCATCTCTGCACTTTGGTATGAGAGAAAAAAAAAAATTAACCACCATGGATATCAAACAAGGCTTTTCATTTTCTGCTTTTCAGGGGTTTGCAACAATTTACTTGTACTTATCTATACACAGCTACAAAAAAAATTCAGTAATTCCAAACTCTAAAAAAAAAAAAGATGTTGCCTATGTTCTAGTGGTGGCTAACAGTTAAGAATGTTATTTTGAATTAACAGAACCACCTCTTATTCTCAGGCTTCTTCATCTAAAACTTACAGAATTCCTAAATTAGAAAATTACTTAGTACCATCAGTAACAGAGCTGGTAAGTCAATACAGAATTAACATTTGGTTACAACATGGATTTTTTTTTTTTCCCCACCACAGACTACATACAAAGTAGGTGAATTCTGAACAAGGTATTAGTCACAAACTGGGGCGGGGGGGAAGTGAGAGGCTCTGACACATGAAAATTTTCATCAGTCTGTTGAGCATGATCAGCAAAATCCAATTTTATTCAAAATCAAGGTAATAGTCTTATGTTCAAATCTTTAAGGAGTACTTAAAGACTGGTGAACTGAAACTAACAGTATGAGGAAAGGGCCAATGTCTATATAGAGACAAATTACAATTTATGTAAAAAAAAACCACCCATATACACCTTTTAGAAAAGCACATTAAAATTAATAACAGTATGAGGATGTACCAGTCATGTTCTGCAAGAGAAAAAAGCTGCTTTGAGTAGCACATAAGTATTATATGTAATCAACTGTTCCAGTTTCTCCTTCAGGTTTTGTATATTTAACATATAAACAGAATTTTAAAATAAACCATACCCAAAGGCTCCTGTTTGTTTTGGCATTTTTCCTTAAATGTAATGATGATCTTTTTCATGAGTTCATCAACAGCAGCATTTGATGGCGCACAAACTAGAAAACGGTTTGGCTTGATCTTGGAATTTGTTTTTTGAGTTGCTTTCTCATTCCTAGTGTTCTGCAGATTAATTAACAATAAACCAAAACAGGCTCTTTAGATTGTTTTCATTTGTGATTTAAAAGCCAGACTGTACGCTCATCTTAATCAGCATGCAGAGTATGGGGACTATTGCACCTGAATATCTCTTAAGGTATGCCTTACACTGAGTAATAACAAGTCAAATGTATTAATACTATTTGCATAAATTCACTTCAACAGTGATGTACTCGATGAATCTACTAGATGCCAATATGAAAACCATTAAATGGGATTGGCCAAATAACATTCTTTAATACATCAAAATATTAAGGGTTTTTGCAATGTAACAAGTGTTTATACTACTGATTGTGCATGTTTTCTTGATTTTACTTTTTAAGTTCCATAAAATAAATCTTTTCCAAGATGCCCAAAAGGTATTATTTCCACCTTTACACCCAATACAGTACAGATTTAATTAAGTCAGTCACCAATACTACACTTCCATTTAGTTTAAGCTATCATTGACTTCCACTGGGAAACCAAACAGGAGCGCGTGACGATCACATCACATTCACTTACTTGTCTCAAAACACGAGACAGAAGTCCCACAATAGTTTTTGATTTCCCTGTTCCAGGTGGTCCGTGGATGAGGCAGATCTTGGGAAGCCCTGGATGTTGCTTTACCATGGCATAAGCTGTCTCAATGGCTCTCTTTTGATCTTCATTGTATTCACTCATATCCGATGCCTGAAGGAACAAACAGGGGAAAAAAAAATAATGAATTACTTCATGTTGAGCAAACCTTCCATGTTCATTTTAGATATTTTCAGAATGTCTCCCGCCCCTCTAGCTAAAACTCTTGACTCTAAGACTTGAAGGGCATGGAAGCTTTTGATTCTAGGTTTGCCCCAGATGCACACCCAATCCTGACTCGAAAGCTGTAATGAAGGTTTCGTTTACTCTACACACCTTTGTTTTGCATTATCTTTTCCATACTATGCCTTATTTCCTGAACAGACACCTCTCCAGTAAGGAAAGAAAACTAAAAGCTTCTTAATGTGCACTACTAGTATCCACATCAATACAGCAGAAACACCTGAGCAAATTCAGGTTCCTCTCTACCCACCCAATCAACCAACTCTGAAAAGCATAGTGCCTCAGTGCTTTTGAAACCTGTCTGTTTGCACTTGGTCATCTCAAAAACCAACATGCAAAACCAGTTCCGCAAAACTCCTGAGATCCAAATGCCCACTTTGTCATCCCTATCACTTCTAGCTGCAGGACTTACAGCATTTTCTGAAGCTACAGGCAAATCTCTGGGACAGAAGTCATTATAACTTGGATTTATGATGGGTTTAGCCATGGGACTCCTGCTCAGTAGTAGTAGACCTTTGAATGTTCGGTGTGTGGTCACCAGGGAGCCAACCACCACACACTTCACTTGCTTGTTTATGAAGAAAGACAAATTGCCTCGAGTTTGCACAGAAAGATGACAGACGGTATGCTGCTCCTTTTGTCCTATTAAAAGGGGG